ATTTGATTGAGGGGCCGGAGGGGGGGTGGAAAGGGGGGCAGGGGTGCCTTCCCTGGCTGTTGGTCGTGAGGCAGGAAGGGGGCCGGTGAAGCGTCAGTTACTAACACAAAGTTAGTTTGGCGGTAGGGGACGGCGAAGCAGTTGAGGGGCCTCCTTTGCCAGACGGGTTCAGAGACCCTTCATGGTTTCCAATGGATATCGAGGTTGGTGTCCAATTCCGAGAAAACTGCACGAGGGTCCTGCCACAGTTGGCAAAAGTTGTCGCAGATGGTTGTCTTGAGCACGGGGTCCTTTTCGCTGTGGCAATCCCATTTGAAGCTTTTCCAGGCTTCATGCGTTCTGCTCCTGATGGTTTCTTCCGCTGCACGTTGTGCCTATTGCAGCCCAAATTGGTGATCTTTCCTCTCGAAAGAGCAGCTGGCTCTCCAGGCCAACATCAGGATTTGTAGCCTCATGTAGGAGAACAGATTGGTTGCAAAAGGCGACCATTGTGCCAGCAAGCGCTGGTTCTTGCCAAGAAGCAGAAGGCCTAGGTCCCAAGGAATGTGACAGACTGAACGAATGAAATGTTGCGTCCTACCACTGCCATAACTGGGCCACCATCGGGCAGGCCAGGAGGCAGTGTTCTAGTGTGGCCCGGGCCGGTGGCGAAGCTTTGCCACAATAGGAGCAGATGGGAGACAGCAGCCCTTTGTATTCTAAATCTTTTTTTGTGACTAACCAGTCAAGGGTGGGGAGGCAGCGATGCAAGATTTGCCATTGGAGGGCCCTGAGGTTTGTAGGTATAACTGGACATGCCAAAAAAATACAGACAAATGAAAATGAAACAATAAACGAATAGAAGATTTTCCGTTGTTTGGCCTCCCAAATCAGGGCGCAGCGCGGCCGGGAGCGCTGCGCCCCGTCCGGTACAAGAATCGCGGGAGCACGATGCAGCACAGCGTGAAGAGGCGAGCATGGAGCGAAGCGTGAACATGGTGTAAAACAGCGATGGCGTCCGTCAAAGATTCTGTGGAGGCAAGATAGGAGGGGGACGGGCAATGGCAGGTCGTCGGTTGTAGTGGAGTGGAATGGGGATTGTGCCAAGGAGAAGGGGGTGGAGCGAGCGGGGGCTCGATGGTGAGGGATTTCCTATACTTGCCCTTTTTACTCCGTCTCTCCTTCTTCTTGATTTAGCGGTCTTCGGATCGTTGGGCAGGGACTGAACTCTGTGTGAGGTGGCGTCAACAGGCTTGATGTGGTTTCTCACAACGCAATCGCATGTGGGCAGTAAGGAGGTGATTGTGTCCTACCAAATCTCTTCTGGTCAGTGCAGCTTGCCAAGGGGCTATATTAGCACGGGCTATGGAGAGGCGAATGTGTTCCTCCTGCAGGAAGAGGCAGGGGCTGAGTTTGGACTCTACAGTGGCGGGGCAGCTGGATCAGGGGACTGCGAGAGTGGAGCGCTACGTGATGGATTGCACGAACTGAGACCTAAGGTGTTTTAAGGCAACTTCGCGCAACGACGGAATCTCCAATAATTTTTTGATGCATTACCTGTTTTTGTTGAGCTTGGGGCTTAGGTCTTGTTTTTCTTTTCTTAATATGGGAATTTCTTGAAAAAAATCTTGGACGGTAATTCTGATTCCTTAGTTGATCTCAATCGGTAGTTCGTATTTTTTCTTGTTGATTTCGCGATCTAGTTTTAGAATCGTTATGCTTTCTCTCATACACAATTGATTGTCAATTTGTTTTTCTACTTAGTATTTCCTGGTTTACTGTCTGAGCGATTTCTTGAACCTTGGGGTTCTGGAAATCAAAGTCGTAAATCCGTTCGGACATCATAATCAATTCCCTATTTTGTTTCTCTATTTGGATTTTTAAATCTTATCCAATTTTATCTTCAATCTTATCTTCATCTTGATGAATTTCCTGAATTCGATGTTAAATTCATGATTCAAACTTTGTTTTCATGACTTGTAAAAATTTTAAACGCGACGTGGGATTTTTCAAACAGTTCTTACTCAAGTAATTAGTCTTAGTTTGTTGTTTTTAGCAAGGGAGTCTCAACCTGTGATGCTGGGAGATCGGGGTAAGAGGTGTTGGAATAGATATGTCCTTTAGGGTTGGAGTCCCTCCCTGTGAGGGTTACACAAGGTGGGTGGTGTGATCTTTGAGAGGGTAGGGGCGGTATTGAGGGTTTGTCCTTTTTGGGGCCACGCTGATTTTCGGTTTGGATCAGCTATGGCGGTTGGGGAGAGAGGACAAGGGGTGCTGATGTCAGTAGGGTGAGAGTTGAGAGGGATTGTTCCGCTTGGAGGGGGTGGGGAAGGAAGGAAGGGGGATCTTCTGCTCTGCGGGGGCATACTTTAGGGGGTATTGTATGCGACTGAGGGAGCAGGAAGGGTATTCAGGGGGTTGGTTCGAACTGGGGCGGGGGAGGCGAAGGGGCGCCTTCCCGCGGAGGCAGAAAACAAACAGGGGGTTGTTTTGGGGGGAGAGGAGTAATCCCTTTGGCTCTTGTGACCCCTTTACATGTATGTGAGACCTTATTGGGCGTTGGCGTTTCCATGGGGAGAGAGGGTTATTCTTTTCCCTCTCTTCCCCTCTCCCTGTGGGAATAGTGAGTGTTGGAATGTTTATGTGATTTTCGGGATTTTTTGTGCCTGGTTTTCCTAATTTTTTTTAATTGAAAAATTATTTCAAGCAGGGTTGCCGGCGTTCGGGACGGACCGAACGCCCGAACTCGAATGCCCGAACGTTCGGCACCCCCTCTCGACGTGTTCGGTCGTTCGACCGAATGCGGATCCAAAAAAAAAAAAAAAAAAAAAAAAAAAAAATCGAAAAAACAATTATGTTATGTAGAGG